TTCGGCATCTTGTGCTTACTTCCTTGCATATGGATGACAGCTGCGTATGAATAAATTTATTTTCTGGTGCTTTGAANAAAAAAAAACGGTAACCTGGTTGCCGAGTTCACGAAGTGAATTGGCTTGTTTTACAACGTCCTTGCCAAGCGACGAAAACCCACTCCCGATGGCAAACACCGGGGGGGGGCGGCTTGTTTTACAACGTCGTTGCCAAGCGACGAAAACCCAACCCCGATGGCAAAACACCGGGGGGGGCGAGGGGGGGGTTGTTCAAGTTGTGGGCGACAACTCGTACAAGGTCAAGGCTCTACCGCGGTTCAGTCGTCCGGTTTGTGAGCCTGAAAACACCCTCAGGTTCCATCCGTGCAGCCCATCTTACACCCAGCTACCTTCGTCCCTGTGTGTGAAGGCAACGAATCAGCTTCCGCATCCACCACATCCTGTGTCTTTATCAAACCTGCCGCGAAAATATGTCATACACGTGAAGAAATGGTCGTGGCTCCATCCTCACCTTGTTGAGGGTGACACCCCTGACTCGCATCTCGTCAAGGGCACGGGTAAGCTTCGACGCACAGTCCTGGCAAGTGGACATCACGACACGGTATCACAAACGACGGGGTAGAAAAAGGCGTGCGATGGACAAAGAGTCAAAGATGACCACTAGTACCATCAGAGACAAAAAAAAAAAGCAGCAGCAGCCACAGCCGCAGCACCTCCAGCAAAACATAAAAACAACACCACAATCCGCAACTACGACGGTCCCAACCGCAACATCCAATGGGAAGATGCCTTGATCGGCAACTACTTTGACTGAAACTAACAACAGCCATGACGACGACGACTACTACTACAAAACATCAGCAGGTTTCAACGGCGAAGATAATACCTAGCATCCACAAGAAAACCAGCGAAAACAGCACTTCCACCGACCCCACCACCGCCGCAACTCAATCGACGACGACGACGAACACAAGAAGAACAACAACAGCAGCGGCTACCCACCCTTCGCGTGGGAGCGTTCGCCGTGATCTTCATCAGCAGGGAGTCGTAGTGCGGGCTGATGTTGGCCCCCTGGAACCCGGGCCCGTCGTCGATGCGGATGCCCATGCCTCCGGGGGAGCGGAAAACCTCGATCAGGCCCGTGTCGGGCTTAAAGTCCTGCTCCGGATCACACCCGCAACGCCAATTGCATGAATAGGGCAGCGATTAAACACGAGGTACAGCGAGAAAAAAAAATGTCATCTACAACAACAACACGAAAGGGGCAGGGACAGCAACCCGCCTACACCAACATACAACGAGAGAACGAAAAAAGAAAACACACGTTCGAGTTTGACCACTCCCATCCGCACCCTTATCCGCGGCAGTGGTCACAGCCATAGTCGGGGGGGACAAGCTTGGCCAAGCAGGCACGTTTGGGGCTTTCCAAGGTGTGGTGTATTTGCTCTCTCTTACGCTGATCGAGCGGACAGACAGCACGTACAAGGCCTTGATGTATCGGATCGGTTCCCAACGGGACGGTTTTAAGTACACGGAACCAGAATACACGGAAAGGTTTACGGTACACGAGACCGAACGCGCCTGGGAAGGGTCCTCGGTGGTGACCCGGCACTGCATGGCGACCCCGCCAACCTTCACGTTCTCCTGGACCAGGCCAAGGTCCTTCAGGGTGGCCCCCGCGGCGATGCGGATCTGGGTCTGGACGAGGTCCACTTGAGTCACCTGCATCACAGCAACCAAAACAAACATAAGCACACAAAAAAGTCATGAAATAAAAGTGCGCGGTGAGTGTGCGTCATCACAAACCACCCGAACAAGGTTTCGGAAACTTGCTCTCGACCTTTTTATCCATGGGTAGCGAAGGTGAATTTTGTTTTGGCTCTTTGCCAAGAAAATTTGAAGGATGTGAAGTATCACAAACATCTCATTGTTGCTATTCGCAAGGAAAAATGAGGGTGTGTGCACGAACCATCCAGAGAGGGTTCCCAAAACCTCCGTTTCATGGTCGGTGGCGAACACAACTCGTTCTCCTGTCACCGAAACTGACCTGTTCCGTGACCGTGTGCTCCACCTGGATGCGAGGGTTCACCTCGATGAAGTAGTGCCTGTTGGTGACAATTTCGGTTAAATACACGACCAAGGAGGGTAGGGCGCGACAAAAAAGAGCANGGGGGGGGGGGGGGGGGGGGGGGGGGGGGGGGGGGGGGGGGGGGGGGGGGGGGGGGGGGGGGGGGGGGGGGGGGGGGGGGGGGGGGGGGGGGGGGGGTCTCATCTGGCCTGGAGTGGGATTGTGAGGGGAGGACGTACCAGCTGCAGCAGTACATCATTACCGCCACGCTTTTCGACATGGTATCACAATCCCCACGAGCGAGTGGGCCGGCAGAACCGGCACCAACAACGGAGCCTCCCCGCATACAAACAGAGAGCGAGAGCGAGAGCGAGAGCGAGAGCGAGAGAGCGAGCTCGCGGCACCAAGGCCAAGAACCTCCACGACGAAACCTCACAACCACCCTACCCCCTGCTTAGTAGATGTAGGCGTTACGCTATCCTTCCATGATCTTCAGAGATGCCCCGGGCCTCGCTGCTGCCGCCGTACAGCATTCGAGCCCATGGAAAAAAAACGAGTACCCCTCCCCCCCCGGCCCAGCTTTGTAGGTATGTGAGGTCAATGGGGTAACGACCACAGCATGAGTCGCAATGGTAACATCCCCCCCCCCCAAATCGTTCTCTCGAGGACGCGTGGTCAATGGTCTAGCGGCTAAGGCATGCACAACATGAGAGCACGCCCCGCCCACCTGCCCTCCTGGTCGACGAGGAACTCAACGGTGCCGGCGTTGAGGTACTTGGCCGAGGCACACAGCCGAACGGCGTCGTCGAACATTGCCTGGTCGCGAAAACAAAAAAGTCCATTCGAGAACAGAAAAACAAAACAGGAAAATACGTCATTAACGTTTGAAGAAAACAAATTGTCGGATGGGTTCCCCAAGACCTCTGTCCTCCGGCTCTTGAGACCCTTTTCGTTGCCAGAGAGAGTTTGCCGTCAACCTTCGACTTTCGTTTCATGGACAGGGCTGGAGGTTTCGCGCTGGCGAAGGTACAACGCGCGCCTCCAGAAGCACGCCGCCGACCAAAGGCCTCGAACATGCCTTACGTCTACCGCACGCACGACATCAAAAACACCGCTGCATGCACATCGGCCAACCAGCAATTCACACGCGGTAAAACGAGGCCGGCGAGCTGGTCGTGTGCATACGCCAGCACCATCCTGAACACCCCACATGAGGCCAACTCATGTGGTCGAAAAATCATACACACACACACGCACCTGACGCGTCTCCGGCTTGAGCAGCATGGCCGGGGCTGTTTCCACCACCTTCTGGTGGCGTCTCTGCACGCTGCAGTCGCGGTCATAGAGGTGCACGATGTCACCTTGGGACGGGGGGGGGGCGACAGAAACTTAAGTCCAGAGTTGTGTTGTTGTTGTCTCCACGGTAACAAACAGTTCCGGTCTCCGCTCAGTATCACATTCTAATAACCGCACTGATCCAACTGGGCATCCGTCAGGTATTGCAAACGCTCTTAACTCCTGTATAGAATTCAGCACATCTCTTAGATTTGGGAAGCCGTCTCAAACGGGTACTCTCTTTTTGACAGGATTGCGTTAACTAGTCAACACACAGCATGAAACGTGTGTTATCTCGTCAAACGCTGTGCCGCAATCTGAACGAATCCCTCCCTCCTTGCCAGGCAATAATGAAAGAAACGAAGCTTGTGTTTCGCACCAACAGGTGTTGCATACAGCCAACGGCTAGCCAAAATACGACACAGGGCGCATGCCGACAAGCCCTTCCTAGACATGGAAAGCGAGTGTTCGCTTTGGGGCAGCAAATATTCGTGTTATGTCATGGTTGTTATTGCCGCAGAGACTCCTGTTCCCTTCACCTACTGTTGAGGCGAATTAAACAAGGCTACATGGCGTGGCAACTTAACCCCTCAAGACCCGCGATACCAACAAGCACTCCATGGTAGCAAGCTCGCCCGAAGACACCATTGGGAGAGCTGTTCAAAAAACAATGTCGCATGTGGGTACAGTCAGGTGTGTATGGTACTGTGTTGTTCCTTTATGTTTTTCTTTTTTTCTTTTTTCGTGGTGCTTGTCTTGACCCCGACTTTTGCCCTCATGATGAAAGCCTTCTCATTGGTTCCCGTTCGTCTTACAGAAGGCTTTCATCATGAGGGCAAGAGGACATGTTGCAAGAACATGAACTGGAACCAATGGGACGTGTCAATATCTTTTTGCAACTAGACGAACTGGAACCGCTGAAGACATTTGCCAACTGGAACCAATGCCATTGGTTCCAGTTCGCATTTGTTCCGGTTCAACTTCCTGCAAATGTCTTCGTGGTTCCAGTTCGTCTTCTTGCACAAAACTCTTCTTGCCTTCATGATGAAGCCCCTGTGAGGAAGGTGAACTGGGATACTGTAAAGCAGATAAACTGGAACTGGAACCGGTCCCAGTTCATCTGCTTGCAGAAGGCTTTCATCATGAAGGCAAGAAGGGTTTTTTGCAAGAAGATGAACTGGAACCAACGCATTTTTGCTCGTGTACCTGCTGCCGTGATACTCATCGGTTCCGATAGTTCCAGTCCATCTTCTTGCAAAAAGTCTTCTTGCCTTCATGATGAAAGCATTGTGCAATGAACTGGAACCAATGGTGACTTTACAGAGGGCTTTCATGAAGGTAAGAAGCCATTTTGCAGCAAGATGAAAGCCTTCTGCTAAATTGCCCATTGGTTCCAGTTCATCTGTCGACAGAAGACTTTCTTGCCTTTTAATGATAGTCTTCTGTAAGAACATCAACAGGAAACCAATGTCCATGTCTCGGAGTACGGGAAGCGAGTGGCTCGTCAAACCGTACCACAAAAGGCTAGCGAGAGCTTGGTGCGAATCAGACTCGTAAGAGTCGACGAGCTCCAAGGACATGGCCGGCATGGCGTTGTGCATGTCCTCGAAGCTCATCGACTCTAACTAGTCTGATTCGCAGCAAGCTCTCGCTAGCCTTTTGTGGTACGATTTGACAAGCTACTCGCTCGCCGGTACTCCGCGACACGTTGGTTTCCTGCTCCATCTTCTTCCAGAAGGCTTTCATCATGTAGGCAAGAACTCGGGGAGAAGACCAATCACATCAAAAGAAAAAATCACCCCGAAGATAAGAAGGGCACGTGGTCACACTCGGTCGAATGCACGGTATTGACCACCGTGGACATGGGAGTCAGTCTCATCTGCATGTGGTGGTTCCAACAGCACAACCCGGGGAACAGACGGCCAGACATAAACCAGACAGACAGATAGACGGGCAAAAGAGCAGCCAGCCAGCCGCACAGACAGACGGACAGAAAAACAGACAGGCAAAAAGACAGACAGACCGACAGATAGGCACGCCTTACTTTACCTGTGCCATCACCGAGGATCTGCACCTCGATGTGCCGGGGGTCCTTCACGTAGCGCTCGATGAAGATGCTGCCGTCTCCGAACGCCGCGAGGGCCTGGGATTGTATGATTGGCCAACAAAATCATCAGCACATGGATGGAGCACACGCGAATGTAAGATGATGCAGTAGTCGGGGAAGGTTACAGCAGATGGCGTCACTGCCAACGACACAGCAACAACAGCAACAGCAACAATGCGGCAACTTCCTTCTGGGGTACAAACCTCAACTCCTTCTCAAACTCCCGCCACACCCCTCACAGCCTTTGAATACATGTTCCGACGTTAGTTTCTGCGATGCCCACTCTCAAACCGCGCGACAAGTGACAGCAGTTCTCGGAGGGGGGGGGGTCTTGAGCGTTCCACCAACGAGATCCCCGTATCAAATAGCGGCCAGTCATGTTTGTATTAGCAGTACCAATATTTTGTCTCGGAGCTTTCCGCCTCTCCATCCCTGTAGCCCCTGCCAAATACTCGCGACGATCGGTGTTCTTGGACAAAGACTACAAAACATGTACTTCAGTATCTCCTGCCAAATACCACGACCATCGGTGTTCTTGGACAACGACTACAAAACATTTCCTTCTACTTAGAACCAGTAGAGGTCCCTCAATACTGTACTGCCGGTAAGTGCCTGGCCCGATTCACCCGCCCTTGTATAAAGGGCCCCCTGTCATGTACCCAAACCACAAACCAATGAGCACGCACACAAACTACAAACCAATTGAGCATACACACAAACAACAAGGCAGTGAGGGTGTACACAAACAAACCAATTAAGCACCACCAGCAACAAAAGACAAACGATAAAGGAGCCGTGGTGCCCAGGTCAAGTCACCCGCCTCGGACGTTGCGAGCTGGAAGTTCTTCTCCAGCTCCGCCGAAGCCGTCACCACCCGCATGCCCCGCCCGCCGCCGCCCATGGCCGNGACGGAGCACGCCGGGTTCCCAACGGACCAGGCTCTCACATCACCAAGCGTGAAGCGCCGTGACGTATTCGGCGAGTCTCATGAAGGGTGCGCTGCATCCTGCTAAGGGTGTTCCGCATCTTGTGCTTACTTCCTTGCGTACGGATGACAGCTGCGTATGACTTGATTTACTTTCTGGTGCTTCCACTTCCAGAGACAGTTGCAAGCACTGTGTAACTGCCTCGAGGGTGCTTGACCATCTTAATACAACGTGTTGCGATCATCCCCCTTGCGCGAAGTGAGGGTTCTCCACCCCGCACAACATGATCTACCCGACCACCATTATGGTTACCGTAAAAAAAAAACTGAGGAAAAGAAAAAAACGGTAACCTGGTTGTCGAGTTCACGAAGTGAATTGGCTTGTTTTACAACGTCGTTGCCAAGCGACGAAAACCCAATCCCGATAGCAAACATCC